GTTTTTTTTTATTGCTTTAAGGATTCCATGATCGCAAAAACGAGGAAAATGTCCGGGCCCCTGGTTAACGACCCTCCATCATGGGCATTCACTGCATATGACCAACCCGTGCTTACAATGAAGGGTTAGAAAGCTCAAATAACGCGAGATCAGGCGTGAGTTCAAGGTGCGTGATTTTTTAGCTTTTTAACAGTGAAAAGGGTACGAAATTTTGAACTTTTAAAACGTGTTTAGGGTCATTTTGAAAAACCCTTTCACAGATATGTATTCCAGGTATTTCCATGCACAAGTCGGACCCCCGGGCATTTAGGTCGGGGAACCCTATTGCCCATTAATACGTTCCAAGACAGTGTTACGTCCTAGCAACGCGTGTCAGTGTAAAACGTGTTTCACTGTCTATGTGAAAATAACATAATGGCGGCCTTGTATGTGCGCCTTAGTACTGAAAACTCGTAATTCGGCGTAAATTGAATGGATAATTGCACCAATACTGTTTGGGAAGAAAAAATATTAAAACAATTGGTATAATATCTCACTTTTGGTAGAATATGTATATATTTTCTACATAATTGTGTAATACGTTCATTACATGCAAAATAATTACGAAAAACTATTGAAAACTTAGAAATATACTGCAATGTGGGCCCTTATGGCGTTAAAAAACCCTACGGACGCTTAACAGACGTCTAATCTGAGTCACTGTCCGAATAAATAACTCGTGGATGTTTAGCTGTGGCGACGACAGAGCCAGAGACTATGATATGTTGAAGTTAAAAGTTCCACAACAGAATTGTGCATTGGCAAACATGCCGTGCAACTGCGGTACTCCACTGACGGGCTGACTTTCGTCGACAGTGGTCGTCGCTGAGCTGCGCGCTACAACTTCGCTTGTGATGTTCCTTGATGGTCGTGGATTGAATGAGTCCTGATTACCGGTTAAAACGTTGCTCATTTGGCGTTGGTAATCTTTATTTGGAACTGAGTAACGTCGCCAGCAGAAACCTCCTGGTATCTCGAAGTTTATGGTTCCGGCTCCATAGAAATCGCTAATTTTACTGCGGGTGGATCGTTCAACAGCCCTTCATGGTTTATAAAACTCGGTTTCCAGGTGGTCAAAATTAAGTTCTTCTAATCGTAGTATTCCATGTGATGTACATGCCAAAAATGTTGCTGAACAATTTGAACCGTACAAAAATAGCAGACGAAAATGCGTTTACAAAATAAAAATAGTTCGGTAGCCAATGGAAATACCATGTTCATTTGCATATCGACCATGAAAATACCGAAAACATTATTTGCAAGGGTGATATACAAATTAATTTTAGTCAAAATAAGTGACTGCCTAAAGTACTATTACTGTTGTTCAAATTTCATTGCCCCTCGGCAAGTATATTCATGTACCCCAAGTGAAAATTATCGTACTTCTAATTATTGTTCATTTTTGCTATGTTTCGAAAAACGGTACTCCTAAAGGGACTTTGTTTGCTCTAAGACCGCATTTGCATATGGGGTGTGGAAACACCGATTTTTATTTCAGGGACGAATCAAAATAAACTGCAGTACATATGTAATAATATGATAATACTAAAAAACATTAATGTATAAATAAAGGCCAAATAATAACACAATAAAAGAGGAGGTATTCAGAATAAACAAACATCGCCTTATCAATGTAAAACATGTGAAAGATCAAGGTCAACTACTATGTCTACTCAGTAGAAGAAGAAACATCATTTCAATCCTTCATGACAGGAAATGAGAAGAATCAGCTTACGAATTGGACGGTCTAAAAACGTTCTATTGTAAATTGGCTTACCTGTTTTATCCAAGTTTGGAGTGGCCATTAGTAGCTTTACCTTTCTCACAAGACCATCACTAGAGGGATAGGTCTCTGCCACTTTAGCCAATCTCGTCCTTTAGCATAACTATATCACCAACTCTGATATTTTCTTTGGTACCTTGCCAGGTTTTCCTTGACTGAAGATTGTACAAATATTCTTTTTCCCACCTTGTCCAGAACAGATTGGCCAGATATTGGACTCCTCTTTCTCGCATATATATCTTCCCTCACAAAAACTCCAGGAGGTGGAGGGGTGACAATTCCAGACTTCATTGTGAGGATATTGTTTGG